ATTTGACTTAAGGACAGACCTTGGGAATGGAACTTGTTCTTAAACTGGGGACTACCTGTACTGTAAAGCCAAAGATCAAGGAACTCCACTGTCAACACGTATACCTGTGATCAATAATCACTTAAAAATTGTTTAATATTATAGTGTCGTTCGCCCCTAGTCTAGGTAAGGCTTTTCCAGACACTCAGTTTAGAATAAATCAAGATCCAATTTCAAGATTCCCAATGAAATAGTTAGCAAGCTCCGGGGCTATCTGCAAGGCCAGGTCAAAAAAGTCAAGATAGTTGTTCTGTTTCAAGATAGCAGGTGGCTCATGACAGTAGGGGCCACAACCATGCAATCAAAGCCTTGCCCCTTTTTTACCTACATCGTGACACACATAAAAAAGGGTTGTGGCATCATCTTGACTTTTTTGTCCCACTGCCTGCAGTCATGCCTAGCAAGCTCAGACAAGATAGGGAAAGCATGCAGAACACAGCTTCTGCAGTCCCTTAATAGCAGCACCGCCCAGAGTCACATGTCAAGAATGGAGCAGTCACCAAAACTCTGAGCTAATGCCCACTGCTCACTGGTAGGGATGCGTTGGTGGAATTTACTCCTCTCTCTCCTTTTCTGCAGTACCTGGTTGGATCTGGCACATTTTTGAACACAATCTTTATTTTGTTGGTTTCTCCGACCATGCTATATTTGGTCCTGTTCTGTTTTTGAAGGCTTGTCTTGACTGATGGACCTCTGAGGGATCCCAAGCCCCATTGCACCATTTCTTTCCCACCTTCCGTTGGATTGGAAAAAATAAAGAAGAGGAAGTCTAAATGCCGTAATTATGAATTTTGCAGCTACAAGAAGTGGAACAGCTGTTAATATAATGGTAAGCTGTTTTCCTTACTTGCAGAGTCCCAGATTAGGAAAGGCTGAAAAAGTAGAGCAGCCTTTAAAAAGGTAGCTAGGAAAATTCCTTCAATATACATATGTATTAAACATCTTGCGTTGTAAAAGAGAACATCCCTATTCAAAGGCAGTAGAATGTGGAATGTTAGATGTTGGGGATGTATAAAGTGCAGTTGACACACAGTTTAGATCAGTGATTCTCAGCCTTTTTGAAGCTGCCGCCCCCCTAAGGAGCGG